CTTTGGCAAAATCTTTGCTCCTGATTTTCTTTCAATTTTTAAAATATTGTGGTAATTTATACTTAACATAAAATCTACCATCCTGACTGTTTTTAGGTACAGAGTTGAGTCACATTAAACATATTAAATGTATTCATAATGTTACGCAACCATCACCGCCATCAGTCTCCATGGCTCTTTTCTTTTTCTTTTTTTGAGACAGAGTCTCCTTCTGTCACCCAGGCTGGAGTGCAGTGGCAGAATCACAGCTCACTGCAACTTCTACCTCCCGAGTTGAGGCAATTCTCCCGCCTCAGCCTCCTATGTAGCTGGGATTACAGGCGTCCGCAACCACACCCAGCTAATTTTTGTCTTTTTAGTAGAGGCAAGGTATCTCCGTGTTGGCCAGGCTGGTCTCAAACTTCTGACCTCAGGTGATCTGCCCGCCTCAGCCTCCCAAAATGCTGGGATTACAGGTGTGAGCCACCATGCCCGGATGGTTCTTTTCATCTTGTAAGACTAAAACTCTCTACCCGTTTAATACAAACTCCCCCTTCCCTCCTCTGCCAGCCCCTGGCAACCACCATTCTACTTTCTGTCTTTACCATTTTGAATATTATTTTGGTTTTGATTTTGTTTTGAAACGAAGTCTCACTCTGTCGCCCAGGCTGGAGTACAGTGGCTTGATGTCGGCTCACTGCAACCTCCGCCTCCTGGGTTCAAGTGATTCTCATGCTTCAGCCTCCCAAGTAGCTGGGATTACAGGCATGTGCCATCATGCCTGGCTAATTTTTGTATTTTTAGTAGAGATGTGGTTTCAGCATGTTGGTCAGGCTGCTCTTGAACTCCTGACCCGGCCAGGCAAGGTGGCTCACACCTGTAATCTCAGCACTTTGGGAGGCCAAGATGGCAGATCACAATGTCAGGAGTTTGAGCCCAGCCTGAGCAACATGGTGAAACCCTGTCTTTACTAAAAATACAAACATTAGCTGCGCACGGTGATGTGTGCCTGTAATCCCAGCTACTCGGGAAGCTGAGGCAGGAGAATTGCTTCAGCCTGGGAGGCGGAGACTGCAGTGACCCCAGATCTGCAACCTCCTCCTCGGGGTCAAGCGGTTCTCCTGCCTCAGCCCTCCAGTAGCTGGGATTACAGGCGGGCGCCACCACGCCCGGTTAATTTTTGTATTTGTAGTAGAGACGAGGTTTCAGCATGTTGGCCAGGTGACTGGGATTCCCCCGCCTCGCCCCAGATCACCGGGAGAGGCCAGCACGGCCCTCTCGTGGGTGTCAGAGATAGATGCGATGTGGGTACCTCTCCCTGGGAAGGGGCTGGCTGGGTCCAGTCCGCAGGGCCCCTCCGGGGCTGACCTAGGATGGAGTTGAGGTGCGGCAGCGCTGGACCCCAGGGCCCCTGCCTGCCTCCTGGGGAGCCAGTGACCCAGGCAGCCCTGGTGAGGCCGCGGTGTCTGGGTCCTAGTGAGCCCCCGGGCTCCCACAGGATGGATGGGGCAGGGAGGCCGGGGAGGCCCTGCTGCCCTGGGGACTGTCCCTCCAGCCCCCAGCTTTCCGTGGTTCTAAGGCCCCCTCTGCAGAGGGAACAGGGAGCCCTCCCTGCATCCTGAGGTGCCGCGCTTGAGGGACCCCAGAGCTCCTGCCAGGCCGCTTCCTTTCCGGATTGTGAAGCTGAGGTCCAGAGGAGGTCAGGGGCAGGTCCTGGAAGCTCCCCAGGCAAAGTGAGCCGATCTCGCGGCTGGGGTCACAGGGCTCCACTCCTGTGATCTCTAGGTCCCTAGAGACGGGAGGAGAGACTGGGGCCTTTCGTCCACCGCTGGGGCTGGGCAGAGGCTCAGCCTGTGCCGGAACACGAGGCTGCTTCTGTGCAGTCCGAGCCGCGGCCCCTTTAAGACGGAGTGGTGCATCAGCCAGTCGCTAGGGACGCTGCCGGCGTGCACACCTCTACGGAAGCCGAGACGGCGCTTCCCTCCGGGCCCTGGCAGAAGCCGCGGCGTCGTGGTCAGAGCCAGGGAAAGCACCGGCCAGAAGTGGCGGCGCGGGACCAGCCGGCAGAAGCGACGGCGGCCAGACGCGGCGGCTCGGAACCAGCCGGCAGAAGCGACGGCGGCCAGACGCGGCGGTCCCAGCCGGCAGAAGCGGCGGCGGCGGTGGCCAGAAGTGACGGCAGCGGCCAGAAGCGGCGGCAGCCAGAAGCGGCGGCACCGGACCAGCGGGCAGAAGCGGCGGCGTGCACAAATGGCGCGGTCCCAGCGAGCTTCGGAGAAGCAGTGGTGGCTTCCATGTGATGGGGGAGCAGGAGGCAGGTTTCCGCGGTAAGTGGCGGAGCATGGACCCCACCGGGAACCCTCCGGGCCTCCCTGCTCCTTCCCCGCCGCTTCCTTTTGGGCCCTGACTCCTTGTGAGCCCCTGGGCTCCAGTAGTCTGCATGGCGGCGGTTGTGGGGTCCTGGCCGGGAACGGTGTGCGACCCTCGTCCAGCGTATAGGAACGCCTGTCCCAGAGGCTGCCGCGAAGCGCGGGACCTGGGACCCTCCGAGCCCCTGGGCCTCTGAGGTGAGGTCCTGGGTTATTTTGATGTCTCAGGACCTTGAGATAGACACCTTGATAGAGCACAGTAGAGCAGGGGACAACTGTAGTGTCAATTCTTTGAGGAGTTTCCAGGTATTTAGCTGTTTTCCGTGGTGTGTATTCTGATGTTCATTTTTATCTACAGTGTATGGTTTCTACAAAACCGCACCCGCGTTCCTTTTTTTTTTTTTTTTTTTTTCCTTTGGAGACAATCCCGCTCTCCCCAGGCTGGAGTGCAGTGGTGCCATCTGGCTTCACTGCAACCTGCGCTCCCGGGTTCAAGCAATTTTCCTGTCTCAGCCTCCTGAGTATCTTGGACTACAGGGGGCCCGCCACCACGCCAGGCTCATTTTTGTATCAGTGGTAAAGACGGGGTTTCTGCACATTGATCAGGCTGGTCTCAAGCTCTTGACCTCAGGTGATCTGCTCCCAAAGTTCTGGGATTACTGGCGTGAGCCACCGAGCCTGGCCTCTCCTATTTTTAAAAAACTTTCTAGGAATAGTCAATAAATGTGAGATATCTGTGTGTGGTTTTCATTAAACCACACACAGTTAACTTTGTTGGATAGTTAATTTTGTGGACCTTTTATCTGTTGTTCGATTTTATGTCGCAGAATTGTCTATTCAGGTCCTTTGCGAAATATTAGATTCTTTTGCTACTTTGTAGTGTTTTTTGTGTACACCTTAGATGACAACTCATGAATTACATGATTACCTGAAATTTTTTGCCTAATCTATAGGATGGTTTTTTTATTTGGAAAGTAGTTTCTTTGCTGTCCAGAAACTTTTCAGGTTGATGTAGTCCATGTTTATTTTTGCATTTTATGCATGTAACTTTGGTCACCCATATAAGCAAATACCTACCAGTGACAAAGCATTTAATTGTCAATGAGGTTTTTCTTCCAGGGTGTTTGTTTCCTTTTCTCTTTGCAAAGGTGAGCAGAGATTCAAGTGACCCAGAATGTATGCTCAACCTGTGTTTTAGTTAAAAACATTTTGTGATTTATGTTTTTTTGTTCAGGACTTTGGGGGTTTTTTTGTTTGTTTTTTGCCGGGGGGTGGGGTTGATTTTCATATATCATGTAAAATCAGGGTCCCGTTTCTCTCTTCTGCATCCAGATAGCGTTTTTCTCAAAGGTATTCATTGAGCAGACTGTGCTCCCACATTGCTGTGGTCTTTATCAAAGTGAGTTGACTGTGTTCATATTTGCGTTGATCTTGTTTTGTCCTTCCCGTTTTTGTCCACAGTTCTAGGTATTGTTTTTATGCAAGTACCATATATCTGCTGCATCACTGCAGCTTGGCAGTGTGATTTAATATCGAGGATTGTGGGTCCTCACTTTGATTGTATTTCTCAGGATTCCATCAGATATGAATTGCTCTTATGGTTCCCTGTGATTTTTAGCAGTATGTATTTATTTCTGTTAACTTTTTTTTGCAGCATAAAGGTGCATAATTAGGGGTACATTTTCACACATGTAGATTGGGTAATGATCAAATCAGGGTACTTAGGATCTCTGTTCCCTCATAAGGTGTTATTTTTGTGTGGCGAGAACACTCAAAATTCTCCTTTCTTGTTCCTTTGAAAAATATAATATTGTTAACTCCAGTCACCAGGCTGAGGAGGAGAACACTCAAATTTATTCCTTTAAGGTTAAGATAACTTTGCTTCCATAACCAATCCCTACTGCCGCGTATCTCCCAGACCCTGGTAACCAATATTGCACTTTCTACCTCTTTAAGATAGATATCTTAGGATTCAGTGTTTGTCTTTCTTGGCCCAGCTCATTACATTTAACATAATGTTTTCCAGGTTCATCTGGGTTGCTCCACGTGACACTGTTTCATCATTTTGGTGGCCGAAGAATATTCCCTAGTGTGTGCATATGAGAGTTCCTTGATCCCTTTATCTGTGGATGGACAGGTAGGTTGAATGTATACCCTGTAGTGGGAATGCTAGATGGTATGGTAGTTTTCTATTCTTTGCAGGACCCTCAACTGTTTTTTATAGCGTTAATACTAATTTACGTTTCCACAAACAGTTCCCCTTTGTGGAAATTCATACTAGAAGTTGTCTTTTTAAATATTTTAATCTGTTTGTAATATTCATTCTAGTTGGAGTGAGATAAGATCTGAGTGTGGCTTTGATCTTCATTTTTCTCATGTGTAGTAATGGTAACCACGTTTTTGCAAACGTTGCATCAGTTTTTTGTCTGCACAAATACCTCTTCAGGTTATTTGGTTTGGTTATTTTTCTGCTTTTTTTTTTGGCCAGCTGGTAGTGTTACTGGCTTGTACCTTTTCAAAAATAACTCCTTATCCAACTGAATGTTTGCCCAAACTTTTCTCATAATTTTTAGTATGTTTTTTCATTTTGTTCATTGTTTATTAGGCAGAAACTCTTCAGTTTAACGTGGCCCCACATGTGTCTAATTTCCTGGTTAGCTGTGCTGTTGGTTACTAATGAGGAAAAAACAAAATCACTACCAAAGCAGTCCATTGTCCATGATTTTTTTTCCTTGTATTTTTGTTAGTTTTTGCAAATCGTGAGCATACATCCAAGTTGCAATAAATATACGTACACCCGAGTTTGTCTTTATAGGAGCTTTATGGTTGCAAGTTTTGTGTATAATCTTTAATTCTTTTCAGTTGATTATTGTGTATTTCATACCGTAAGAGTCCTGTGTTATTCTTTTGCATATGGATACCTAGTTTTGAAAACCTTTCCCATTGTGTCAGTTTGGTAGTGTTTTGAAAAATGTGTTCACTCTATATAAATTTGCGTTTATTATTGAACACCCTCATTTTGCTCACTGGTCTGTATTTCTCTGTGTTTACCAGTAACATATGGGTTGGTTAACTAGGGATTTTCATTTAATTGGAACTCAGGGAATGTGATACATGCCACATGGTTTGTGTTTCTCAGGATACCTTTGGAAATTTAGGGTGTTTCACATTTCCATGAGAATTTTGGCATTGTTTTCTTTATATGTCTTAAAACACCATTTGCCATATATAAATGTATATAATTAGAGGGTACAGGGAAGATTTTGATACATGTGTATGTTGAGTAATGATCAAATTGGGTTATTTAGCATCTCTTCAAAAAGTCGTATAGCTGTGATTTTTTTGTGTGGTGACAACATTCAGAATATTTTCTTCTAGCTACTTTGAGACATATGATACATTTGTGTTAAGGCCAGTCACCCTGCTGTGGAATAGAAGACCAGAATTGATTGCTGTCATCGGAGAGTAAGTTTTTACCGATTACCGATTCCTTCCCAGACCCTCTTCATCTTCCCAGTGACCTCTAGTAACCCCTATTGAACTTTCTGCTTCTAGGAGATGAAGATGTTTTCAGTCTGCATGCCTGAGATGGTGTGGAATGGGACTTTGTCTACCAGGCTCATTCGTTGGACCTGATGTTCCCCAGGTTTCTTCATGTGGCTGCAGATGGCAGGATTTTCCGGAGCGTTATGGCTGGAACATACTCCGTGGTGTATCTGTACAGCAATTTCTTCATCCCTGCAGCTGTGTGTGGACAGGTAGGTTGGTTCTGTACCTTGGCCACAGTTACAAGTGCCTCAGTACCCATGGAAGGCAGATAGCTCTCTTCAGCCTAGGGATTTGAACTGCTTTAAGTGTGGTACCAGAGGTGGGGCTGCCAGCTGACATGGTAGTTGTACTGTGAAGTTTTTCAGGAACCTCTTGCTGTTTCTTATAGTGTGTACACTAGTTTACATCTCCACCAATAGTGTTGAAGAGGTTACCTTTCTGTAGGTCTGCACTGGCTGGCGCCTTCAAAAAGTGTGTTTTGTTTTTGGTAGTATTCATAGTGAGTGGAAGGTGATAGAATGTTAGCATAGCTTTCATGGACATTTTTGTGAATATTAGTGATGCGGAGAAAGTCATTTGAGAAATCCTCACGTTGCTTTTCATGGTGTCTTAACCGGTTTGCATTTCCACCAGCAGCAGAGCAGCGTCCCTCTTCTCTGCCTCACCTGCATTCGTTCTTGTGGACCGTGTCCTAATCGTCATTCTGGCCAGTGTGAAGTACTATCTCATGGGCCTTTTGCTTTGCCTTTTTCTGATGATGACTGAGAGAGAGAAATGTTGTCATGTCTGTTGGTTGCTGTAGGCCTTCTTTTGAGGTGCATGTTTTCATGCCCCTTGCCCTTTCTTCATTGAGTTTTTGTTTTCCTGATTGATTTGCTTAACATCTTTAAGGTAGATCCTGGACATTAGCCTTCATCAGATGCATGCATGGGAACATTTTCTCCCATCGTGCAAGCCGTCTGTTCACTCTGTTGGTCATTTCTTCTGTGCAGCAGCTCTTCTGTGTATTAGGTGCCACTGGGCAATAATTGTTTTAGTTGCACTTGCTTTTGGAGACTGAGACACGTCCATGCTGTGCCAAATCCTCTGTCAGGAAGGGTGTTTCTAGGTTCTCTTGCAGGCTTTTCATATGTGAGGTCTTGCATTTACATCTTTCATTCATCTTGAGTTTATGTCTGTACACCGTGAGACACGGGGCCCACTGTTTTTCTTCCGCAGCTGGCTAGTCATTTATGCCAGTGCCATCTATTGAAAGGAGGGAGTCCTTTCTCAAAAGCTTATTTTTGTGGATTTTGTTAAAGATCAGATGGTGTTAGGGGTGAGGGTTTACGTCTGGGTCCCCTAATGTGTTCCATTGCTCTGTGTGGAATGGGGTCCCTAGCTTTTCAATGAAATTTCACATCGGGAAGTGTGACATAACCGAGGTAGTTTGGATTTCTCAGGATTGCTTTGGAAATTCAGTGTGTTTTGTGGTCCACATGAATGTTAGCATTGTGTATTTATATCGTTTTTTAAAAGGTTGGTCATATAGTAAATGTATACAATGGGGGAACTTAGAGTGGGGCATTTTGATTAATGCAGACACAGAGGAATGATAAAATCAGAATATTTAGAGGCTCTATTATCAGAAACAGCGGT